ACTCTGAACAGTGCAATCACCAAACATCTCCTTGATACAGAACATCATGTAGATGCCTTACAATCCTTTAGGGTGATTAGTAAGCAGCTAAACTCCAGTCTTCTGAAGTTTGTTAAAGCCATTGCAATCAGGCGTCAAAAACCTGACCTATGTATTCAAAAGAAGACGGTGGTTAATCTTTCCTTGCCCTGGTGACAAATATTCTTTCACTGCATCTTAAAATTCTTTTTCTTTTTTTTTCTTTTGCAGTTATTACATCATTGATGTTATTTTATTTTTTCAACTATCTTTCAAATTAATAATCTTTCAACTGAACTCTAGTCACTACATTCCTTCAATGTTATTCATCAGGTAATCGATTGTTTCTAATCCACTTTTGAACTGTTGTCACAACGAATGTTGTAGAATATTCTTTCACATTAGGTTTATATTTACAATATTCAGTAAGCAATTTAAACCCATTATGTAATTATGATTTTTAAATATCACAGATTGTAAGCAGCTGACGAGAACCTACGAAATAAAATGAATTCATGTTATTCTGCTAGAATCTTTGTTCTTGCTCTTTTCAAAATGATAAAGGGAACTATGTGTATGACATTTGACTTCACTTAATCCATAAGCTTGAGTGGATCAAAATGTGGCAAGATTAAATTTATTTCAATCAGCATAGTAACTGACTTTTAATAATCAAAATATAGATTGATACTTATACTGTCATAGACTAATTTGATAGTTGAATTCATGAGTCAATTGAAGCTAGACTACGATGGAAAACTTGGAAGCACTGAACGGCTGATTCGTCCTAGTATGGGACTCCTCATTAGTACGCATCTACGATCCCACCTAGCGAGATTCAAACTCAGGACCTGCCAGTCTTGCGAGCGTGCGCTTAACCTCTACACCACTGAGCTGGCCAGCATCCAACGGTGTTAATGTCTAACTTCAACCAATCCAGGAAGTCATGTCTCCATCCATTATTATCATCAGTGAGTTACTATCTCACAACAGACCCGCTTGAACTCCACTATGATATATTAAACAAAAATGTACCGTGTTACCAGTTTAAATTTGGCAGTACTCATTATTTTCTTAGCGAAACTACAATTTATGGGTGAACCAATTAGGTATAAGATAACAGGTCTTTGAGATTTTGGCGAGAAATTCACTCATCCATTTGGTTAAATACAGCTTTGACATTATAGCTGATGTCAGTTCGTGATAAAAACCTGAAGTCTAATTCTTAACCCTTAACCATCAACTGTAAATCATAATTCTAATTTTTCACACGGGTTTATAATCCTCATTTAGTCCTGGTTATTAAATGGACACTCTTAAGGTCACTTTTAGCGTCGCTCAAATGTCGTTCATAAATTATTGTCTCACTATTTTATTTTCAAAGTTTAAACAAGGGATATTTGATACAACAGTTTGAGAGTCCAACATAATTAACTTTCCTATTATAATAAATGAAATTATATATCAGTTTATGGGTTGTGGAGATTAAGTTTATGATTGAGATCATGAACCGATTGATGTTAGACCACCATTTAACACCTGAAAGCACTGGGAGCATCCACGATCCCGCTCGTGGGATTCGAACCCATGGCCTTCAGTTTCGCGCGCGAACGCTCAACTTCTGGACCACTGAGCCGTCATCTAATGGTGTCAATGTCTAACCTCCCACAATGGGACGAAACGGCCGTTCAGTGCTTCCAGGTTTTCAATGGTGGTCTAACATCAATCGATTTATGATCTCAATCAAAATTATGCATACTTTATTGAAATGCTTGTTATTTAACTAAATGTATTGTAAAGTGTTTCCAATTAATTAATTACTTATTCATCATTCACAAGTTGATCTATGTATTTATGTATGTATGTACGTATGTATGTATGTGTAAACAGTAATTATATAGTAATTAATTCAAGTTCCATTCTATTCAGATCAATCTCACGCTAAACAATTTTCCCAAATGTTTCACAATGAAAACTCTTTCACATTTAATTTGTATTCAAAAACAAAAGTATGTGTATAGGTTATTGAAATTCTTCTTTTTCAAATAGATCACACAATAAATCGTTACAGTAGAATTTACATTTAAACGTGTTAGTAACAATCATGATCGAACAAACGAATAAGATATGAGAATTTTCAGGGTTTTTTTAGGGGGGATGGTGTGGGGGTGGAAGAGGGAATGTTGATTGAAAATGTTTATAAGATCATTTAAACTATAATTTATAAAAAAATTCGTTTCACTGATTGAAATCATGAGTCAATTGAAGCTAGACCACCATGAAAAACCTGGAAGCACTGAACGGCCGTTTCGTCCTAGTATGAGACTCCTGGAATTCTAGTGAGAAGCAGTTACCAGTGAAGTTCGACCAGGTCTATTTTGAGATATCGACTCACTAAAGACAATCGTATACGGTGGTGCAACTTCGCGGATTGGTTGAAGTTAGACATTACCACCGTTGGATGCCGGTCGGCTCAGTGGTTTAGCTGGTTAAGCGCCTGGCGCGAGACTGATAGGTCCAGGATTTGAATCGCGTGGGGTGCAGGATCAAGGATGCACACTGATGAGGAGTCCCATACTAGGACGAATTGGCCGTCCAGTGCTTTCAGGTTTTCCATGGTGATCTAGCTTCAACTGACTGATGATTTCAATCAGTGAATTTTCTAAAATTTCCACAAAAACCCTTCTGATAAAAATTCGTCTGATAAATAGTAGTTTTGTTAGTTAAAGTATCTGAAATTAAATTATTAACTTGGATACTAAAGCTCAATTTAATTGACTTCTGTAAGATACTCATAAGTTATTAGTATTTCATCACATATTTCCTAGAATTATTGCTGGCATCTGCTCGGATCACTAGGTAAGTAATGGGGAGGTTAGACTCAGGGTATTAGGGAGTGATGATGGTAAATCAGTTCATGAGTTTGTGAATCTACGTCTACTGAGATGGTTGGGCAGCGTTTTATGTATACCTGAACACCGATTACCACAACGCGCAATCCTGATTAGTGTTGGAGACAGGTGGAAGAAAGTTAGGGGAGGCCAAACCAAAAGGTGGCATCAGTGCTTGTAGTCACTAACTTCTGATCTGAACCATGTCGGTAGATGCAAACCACTTGGTTGGGGTCCATGTGACAGTCATAACCAATGCTTAGAGACTCTGGGTGACGTAAAACTGAGAATCACAATGGCACAGGTGTATACACTCTTTACCTTCCCTTAAACCGTGGGGTTAAAATTATTTTATACCTTTCTTTCTACGAACTAATTATTCCTCCCTGTATTATATCTTTATATGCAATCCTTGTTTTTATATATTACTACCATTGAAATGACTGCTTCTATGAATTTGGTGTTCATCTTGTTGTGATAGTGAGGTATGGCAACTTGGACTGATGCATATATTTGCCTGGTCCTACGTTGTGACTGACGGACTGACTGACTCTGTTCAAACATTTGGATGGTATCAATAACCACGGTTTATAAACAAGGACATAAATCTATACTTGATTCATGTAATGAATTAGTTATGTAGTACGTATTCACAATACTGGTGGTTATATTATGAGTTAAAGTATATAGATTACTGAAGAGAATTTGAGCGAGGTTGAGCCCTCAAAACTATCCTATGTGGGATTACTGTTTATATTTTCTAATGGAAAATTATTAAATGGTTTCATTATTGTATCCCTATATTCCTCTATTCTTTGGTTCTCATATGACCCATAAACTATTGTTATCTACCGTACCATTCCAGATTTATCATTAATTGATTATTCCCCTCTTATTTACTTATGAGCTTCTGGTGTGTATACTGCATTGTGATTAGGCATTTAATCTATATTAACACACGATTTTTTAAGTCAATGGTATATATAGAGTAAAATAGAAATTTCTGCTTACTAACTTCGTCTTCTGATTCGACAGTAGGTTAAACGAAATTAAAGAACCAATACTCATTCAGGTATATGTTGTTGTTGTTCATTGGGTCATTGATAAAATAGAAAATCACTGATCTTACAAGTAATATAAGTGAGTAAATCAATAAATGGTGCAGAGAATAGAACTGCTCTTACGATAAAGAACCAGATCACATTGATACTGTCACAATACATGAATCCGCTTTTTTGAGATTATAATAATTACTTATATATAGTTCATGAAATCTATATGTTTATTATAGAGATAGATTAGTTTAAAATCATATTTTTAACAGAATATTAAAAGTAAGAAAGAGCTGGTTAATTTGTTTTATTCTCATTTGGAATTTTTTCTTTAGATAATCTAAACCGACTTCACCTGGAGTCCCTCCGGGGGCTACTGCCAGCCCCAAGCCCGGATAAAGGATGGGGTTAGCGACCTCATCCCGTAGAAAGCTAACTCGCTAAAAAAACGCTAATCACAGCTGGTAGGTAGCCTATGCTACATTAGGAGTAACAGGTGTAAGTAAGAAGGTAATCTAAACCATTTATCCCAAATAATACCAAATAGAATATCCTTTGAAGTTAAAAAAATCTTGACTGAATATTATTAAATCCTTCGCTAGACTTGACTATCTTAAATTGAATCTCATATAATCTCATAGATATGTCGAAATCTGTTGAGCGCCTTATTGTTTTCAGTGGTTATTTAACTAATCTATATGTTCATGAGAAAACTATCATCAAGTTTACTGTCGTTTTTTACATGTTGTACAACATTTAATGGTGATTTCAGTTTGTATAAGGTCAGCTTGAGATGTAACAGTCTCACCGCCCTCCCCCCCCCAAAAAAAACATAATCCATACCCATTATTGATGAAAACAAGTTTCCAACTCCATAGTGTTTTATAGAAACGTCATTCGACAAACATTGACAAACGTATAGCTCAAAACATAAGTATGATCATCTTTCTTAATGAATTATGTACACATGAAATAAATGAATAAATAGAAAAGAAAAACACAAACAAACAAATAAATGTGAATAAATGTCAACACTTACCAGATACAGATTTTAATCCCGATCTTTCAAAACTGGACGCTTTAAATTGATTGCATATATTTGATTTGTTCGAATGATTAGAGCTAATACCGACTGGAGCACTTTTGGGCTCAGATAAAGAGTTCTGTTGTTGTGATTGTAGTTCATCTGTTGTTGTTGTTGTTGTTGAGTCGCATACAACATCACTAGAAGTATTCTGTTGTCTATGTTGTTGTTGTTGTTGCTTAATATTCAAGATTAATGATCCTGGCACAGTTGTGGTTGTAGGTGAGGTTGCTGTCACTGCTGTTATTGACGTTGTTGTTGTTGTTATTCTTGTAGATGATAATGGTGATATTGAAGTAGTAAATGTTTTCTGTTGTAATTTATTACTTCGGGTTACAGATGAATTATTATTATTATTATTATTATTATTACACGGATTATTGATATCACTATTCACTGTATAATTATTAATATTTTGATAATCATAAGATTTCTTATGAGATTGACTTAATTTTTGAGGTTTTACTTTTATATCCACTAAATTATTTGCTCTTGGTATAGATTGACGAATACTATTAGTTTGATATTGTGGTGATAATGATTTTGTACTAGAAATTGAACTTGGTGAAGTTGTTAATAAACCATTGAATGATGATGTAGTTATTGAAATAGATGAAGGAAAACGTAATGATGTAACACTGAAATATAATAAATTAAATGATTCATTTAAAAATGGTTGTTGTTAGCGGCGGCTTTTTTTGTTTTAAAAAGTCATTTGTTTTTCAATATTAATAATAATAATAATAATAATCACGGAAAGAAAAATTTTTTTTTTCCGAAATGAAAAAGAAAAATCTTTTTAATGGTTCTGTTGTCAGGGTACTTAATTGATCCTCAACGTGAAAGTGTTACAAACTCTTAGATTAGTTTCACTGTAATTAAAATGAGATGATAAACATGGAAATATATATAGAGAGAAGGGGGGGAGAGAGAGGTGGTGGGTTGTGGGCGTGCCAAACTAAAAATAATTTTATAACCGAGTATTATAATCAATATGACAATATCTAATCCCTGATTGGTCAATCAATTATCATTATTTTGATTGGTTTAAACTTGTTGTTATCGCTATCATTCCAGACTTGTAAAATTAATTTTAGTCTACTCTACTACTTGAATAAAACAAAATTTCGCAGATTGAAATCAAGAGTCGGTAGAAGCCAGACCACCATGGAAAAGCTGAAAGCATTGGACAGCCGTCTCGTCCTAGAATGGGACTCCTCATCAGTACTCATCCACTACCCCGCACCCCACGAGATTCGAACACAGGACCTGTCAGTCTTACGCCAGGTGCCTAACCAACTAAACCACTGAGCCGGTCGGCATCCAACGGTGTTAATGTGTAACTTCAACCAATCCGCGAAGTTGCGCCACTGTATAACATTGTCTTCAGTGAGTCGATATCTCACAACAGACCCGGGGTGCGGGATCGTGGATGTGCACTGCTGAGGAGTCCCATACTAGGACGAAACGGCCGTTCAGTGCTTCCAGGTTTTTCATGGTGGTCTAGCTTCAATTGACTCATGATTTCAATCAGTGAAATTTCTAAGATCTCCATAACCCCTTCTGATTATAATAATTGTTGTTATTATATTCCGGGATTTATTAATCATAGGAAAGTAGTTTCTTTAAATGTTCAACTTAATCATAAAGAATAACAGTTTCAACAGACTATATCATCTTTCATTGATTTTCAAGATAATAGTATACTTCCTGAAGTACCATTAAGTTTAAAATAGTGGATGTCAGATTTTTATGTGAAAAGTTGAAATGCGATAACGGATAGCTCGTAACTTCTTGAAAACTAAGTTATTGATAATCAAAACGTAGTTACTAAGACTGGTAAGTGAATGAAATTGTGAGATCAATGACACTGAGTGAATTCCAAGTTTTTTTGCTCAAGACTGAAGGTACGGGGTTCGATCCTCAGTGGTTGGGTCGTGAGTACGCATTAGTGAGAAGTCATATATTAGAACAAAACAAAAGCAAGGTTGTAATTTATGGATGAATCAATCAGGTATAAGATAATAAGTCTGGGATTATGGCGTGAAATTCGCCCATCCATTTGACTGAGTTTTGGCAATATAGCTGATGTCATTTCGTGATGAAAACACGAAATCTTGTTCCTAACCTTAACCATCCACTGTAAATCATAATTCTAATTCATCTTACATGTTTATAACTCTCATTTGTTCCTAGTTATCAGGTGGACACTCTCAATCTAGCGTCGCTCAAATATCGTCCACAAATTATAGTCTCACCAAAACAACTGTCCAATGCTTACCGGTGTTCAACGGTGGTCTAAGATCAGTTTGTAACTTAAAAACTATTGAAATCCCAAGATGACAATGGAAAAGTGAATAAATTGAAATGAAAAGGTAGATAAAATTAAGATATACGTGGTATATAAACATGATTTATTGATTTTTCGCGGTAATTTTCATAATTGTTTATCAATACGATTATCGAACACTCACCCCTCTTTTAACCCTGAATCCTGACCCTAATCATCAATTCTAACCCTAATTTCAAACCCAAAAGTCTAGTTTTCACGTTAGTCATTTTCGGGTTTTTGTGCAATATATTATTAATATATATAACACTTGTATCCCGACAGACCTAAGAATGTTTACCAGTTTTCAGGGTCATTTTGAGGATCACTGACATTTGTCAGTAAAGCATAATTTCAAAATGCCAAGTGTCAGCTCAATTATGAAGACTACCAGGAGAACACTGGTATGATAATCTAGAGTCCACCAACCTAAATACTTACATATTATGTTCCTTTTCGTTATTTTAGTTATTAAATCTACCTCAATAGTTGGAATTTCTTGTCAAGATTATTTCAGTAAACCTAACCATTATATATATATATTGCCAAGCTGAATTGAAAGAATAGCTATATAGTACTATTACGTAAGGTTACTTAAATGTAGTTTGAAGAATACACGACAAATTGTGTTTAAAGTGTTAAAAATATCAATTCTTAAATCTGTTAGATCACTATAAATAGCATCTGAATCGACTAACTGATTGAACCTGAGAAGTAATGACAGTAAAATCCTGCGTGTTAGATTATTCACGAAGTATTATATCGAATTTGTACAGCGATCTTGATAAGTAAACTATGGGTGATGATAACAATAATAATGATAAGTCCCTAATATTGGTTACATGAGTTACGTCACACCGCATTTGATCAATAAACTAATATGGTGTTTATAGGACAAGATGATAAATATTAATCAGTATGAAATACTAAGGGATTTGTACAAAGAATGTTACTAAGGTAAGTTCTAAGAGAATGAAGAATGATTGAATTGGGTTTTTAGATAACAATCTCTAAATAAAATATTGGAAGTAATTTATTACTTTAACTTAAAAAACCCGTAAAAACATTGGAGAGCTGTTTTATTCTAGGTGAGATTCCTCACCAGTTTGAATGTTTCAAGTGTGAGGTAGTCACATATCAGTGATATTAAATGATGATTTGACAATATCACGAATTCACTGGAGTTAAAAATGTAAATTATTCGTTATTGACTTAATAATCTAAAGGTTAAACATTTACCACTAGATCAGAATCTAATGGATTTGATCATCGGCAGTATTGTGGATGAATGCTTCTTAGATATTCCATCCTACGACTAAACAGTTATCCATAAATCATTGGACGTAAGTTCATTCAAATGTATAGCAAGGATTTGGAATAAAACTGAAAAGTAACAGGTTAGATTGTGAAACACCAATAAGGTTATCCAAGTATTTATTCCACACTTAAGCCTTCAGTAATCAAAAAAAGTATTGAAATTAATAATTTCATAAAAACGTTTAACTTAAGAATACCATGCAGTGAATATATAACACTTGATGATGAGGAATAAAACAAATCATAGACTACCGTCTCCTTACTGAATTATAGGGATTTATTTAGATGGTGGTTGGAGGTAGTCAACAGGAAACCCTGGACCCGGGTTTCGTGCTACTTGGCACTCGTCAGCAAGGTGTACCTGCAATCTTGAGGGAACTGGTGCTCCCTGGCGGATTCGATCTCGTGTCACCCAGCTTCACAGTCAGAGACGTTACCACTGAGTTATCCGAGCCGTGACTAACCTCCTGTAGGACTGAGATGCAATTACAATTGATTGGTTTTAAAAAGAGTATTACGTAATACACTTCTTTCTAAGTAATCTTGAATGAGCTTCTCCCATATAGGTCTTTCCTAACTCTGTTAATTCAATATTCTAATACAGAGTCATCACCTTTGAAACCAATTAAGATGAAATTAAAGATGTTTCGTAGTTAAAATGAATTATTATCTTCCTGTCATATTTCAGTTAAACTACAATATGAGAGGTACTGACACAATTGATCATAGCTAATAATAACTGTACAATGGTCTACTCATCATCCAGCTTGAATATCCTCCAGACTCTGATCCATCTCTAGGTTATGAATGTACTCAGCTGAGCATGAAGCTGAAGTTCTACAACAGTTCATTGCAATTTACTCTGAAGAAACCATCCTTTATATGTTCGAGACTAGATTTAAAGTAACACTGATGAGTTTTCAGTTAGTTCTTAGTTAGCGTTTTTAGTTGAATAGTTTTGATGGCAAACAAAACATCAGTGATTGTAAAGGGCAAGCAGATTTCACATATAGAATGAATCCTATCAAACATCTGTACAGGCTACTTTGTCGGTAAATCTAAATTTGTCATTATAGATATAGATTATCTGACTACTCAAACACTTATGCGTTTAAGGTTTGAGGATAGTGTCAATTTATTTGTTATATACAGTTTGTGTAGCAGGAATAGATGACTCAAAACGTTTACAACTATCATTTTTACTTTATCGAGCCCTATTAATATATATAACGTTATGATATCATCAATTAGAGAACAGTGATTCATCAACCGAATCAATGAGGCATATAATCTGTAAGAGCAGACTATAGTCTTTATCGGTGATTCTTCTCGCCTAGACTTACCTGTTTAGTCTGGAACACCAATCTTAGCTTCCACTATACGAATCATATATTTCAAACTTACTGGGTTTTTATACGACCCAAACAGACCACATCGTACCATAAAACAGAAAGACAAACATTTATACAAGATCTAGCCAAAAATGACTGTGAATGTGAGAGACTGTAATTAATAGACAGGGCATAATTCAAGAATGGTAAATCGTATAATAATAGTTTATAGGTCAAACTAATGCTTGTAATAAGAGGAGTATAGATATATACATAATCTAGTTATGCATTAAGAATATATGTATAATATTTGTCCATAAATAGTTCTTAAAAGTTACCATTCCTAATTGTTGTCGTGGATTATAACAATCACAAAAATGAACGTTTTGTAATCATTTTAAATGTCTTCATCAATATACCAAAAAAATATTTCCATTGTTTATTATACATGAAGTTTAAATTTCGCGCAAAAATGACATTTTCAATTTTGATTGGCTTATAACTATTTTATACTTTTATAAGATTCTTTTATTAATTAATTTCTTAAAAGATTTCTTTTTGGCTTTCAATGTTACTCTCAAGAGAATTAAGAACTTCATTGTTTAATATTTATGATTTGTGATGGTGGGATATAAAACTCAGAAAACTTTTAGTGTTGAAA